CCTCCCTCCCTCCCTCCCTCCCTCTTTCCCTCCCTCCCTCCCTCCCTCCCTCCCTCCCTCCCTCCCCCTCCCTCCCTCCCTGCCTCCTCCCTCCCTCCCTCCCTCCCTCCCAGGTCAAACCTTCTCCAAACTTTGTCACTCTTCCAAGCACAACAGGCGTGCTCACCGACGAGTTGACCAGGATGGCAGATGATCGGGTGCGACAGCTTCAAGCTCGCGTACTCCTTCAGCTTCGACCTGCCTCTCCCTCGTCATCGTCGTGCGCTTCACATGCTGTGCATGCTCACGGCAAAGAAGTTTGAACCTAACGCAACATCAGAGCAGACCGAAAACTTTCCAACAGTCCTTCACCTCTGAGACTTTCTTCCAGGCATCCTTCTCGTTGAGGACACCGCGAATCCCATCTTCATATTCTGCATCGTCCACGCTCTCACCGCATGCGTTCTTTGTAACGTACACTCTGTATCTGCAGCATCAAACTTAGACAAGCAAGGACATCAGAAAGATTGTCAGATAGGATCACAAGGTGAAACAACAAGCATTGAAATAGAGGAGGGCAACCAGTGAAGCACAGAGACAGCTAGAAAGGACCATATACAGCAAAGAGACAACTGTCAGAAGCAGCCATGATGGAGATCATACAAGAAGGGTCCTGGGAGGATGGTGGAAGAAGCCATTTGAAGGTCTGTGATGTGTATCGTTTGCTTCCTGGGCCAAATCCCCATGAGAACAATTCATCTCTCCTTTCCATCTCTCCGCCAGACCTTGCGCTCACTTCGAACATGAAGCCGAAGTAGGACACGTGGCTCCTGCATGGGGTCTCGAGGACCATCACCATCGGCTTCATAGGAGATTCGAATCCTGATTGAACGCCCGACCAGCCCTGCATGTCCTGCAATGCGCTCTCTGAGTACCAGCAGCATGGAGGAGCCATTCCTGCGTACTTCCATAGAGCTTGCCCCCCCCCTGATCCTAAGGAAACCTCTGCTGATCAATCAAGTCAGGCTCGTTTCAGGTAGCACTTCTACGAGCATGCGGATCGCCAACCTGGGAGTGCAGCTTGTGTCGCTGAGTCTGATGATGGAGAGGAGGAGGAGAGAGAGAAGGAGGAGGGCAGAAGGATGGCGAGGGAAGAAGAGGAGGGGGGGATGGAGATGGCGGCGGCGGCAGAGGAGGTGGGCCTGGGTTGTTTCCACCATGGCTAGGGGGATCAAAAAAACAATAAAAAAAGTAACTTTTACAACATTACATTTTGTTTTTTTTTGTCCTTTCAAGAGGTGCGGTCAAAAAACTCTGCGCAATGCTTTCGTTCGTCCCCCCCCTGGCTCTCTCCTCCCCTCTTCGAAGTCCTCCCAGCGCTATCCTCCCGCTGTCCTCGGTGATCAGCCTCGGACGATGGTACGATTGCGTCCCCTCTCTCCTCCCCTCTCTCCTACCCCTCTCCTAGCTCTGCCCTCCTCTCCTCCTCCCCTCTCTCCTCCCCTCTCCTAGCTCCTCCCTCCTCTCTCCTCCCCTCTCTCAGCTCCTCCCTCCTGGCTCCTCCTCCCCACTCACCGCCTACTCCGGGCCCTCGCTCCTTCAAGTTCTCAGGCTCAGTGACCACCGTGTTGGCTCCCGCTCCTCCTCCTGGAGACCCTCTGGACCTTGCTGAACCGTCCAGCCCTTGCAACAAACCTCTCTTCCCCAGCCCGGTAGAATCTGACTCGTTACACCGTATTGTTCTGGCATCGGGTCCCTTCTACGAAACCGCGCGATTGAGTCACCATTGTGACCTGTTGCGATCATTCTGTTTGTACTGAACTTTACTGTTGTCTTCTTTCGTCTTTATTCATTCCTCAATTCTCCAACTTGACCTTTCCACGACACAAATGAAATCCTTCGAAATAACCGTCTACCTGTACTTGGCCGTTCTCCTTGCTGGTGACTGTGTGTTGCGAGTCATGTCGATCCTTGATAGTTGTACAGGTGGAGTAAGTTGCCTGACATGCTACTCTGCCGATCGTATCACTGCAAGTCAAAGTATGTCCTCGTTTTTGATGTTTGTGTCGTCTCCTGACAGTCAGTTTGCAGTGCTCACAACGACAGTGGACTGCACCAGTGCACTGCTTTCAACTCAGGCCCTTGTGATATTCCCATGATTGCTGCAAGGCAACCACTGCGTTCACAACTGATGGTTGTGGCCTCCAGGAGAACACCTACAAGACCTCCAACATTGACGATGTGAGTGAAACATCGGATCTGATCAGCGAGCCTGACATGCTGCAAGCTGGTAATCTCAAACACCCCCGTGTGCGGGAAGAGCTGCGAAGGCCCGAATCAAGGTATCTTGCGCTTTGCACCAGTCAGAGTATCTGATGATCAGCGGTCTCCCAGCGACAGCAGTTTGCTCGTACGGATGTATCATGACTTGACGTCAATCCTTTGCAATGGCTCTAACATCAAGTTTCAGGCTTCCGGTTCGAAACGTGTCAGATCATGAAGAATGTAAGACGATAGACTCGTTCTACGTAGCCTATGCTGAGATGCTTGTGTCAGATCGTAGATGAGCTCACGTCCGAAGATCAAGTTGAGACTTCTCTGCTCAAAAAAGTCCGTATCACCATGAATTTCTGCTTGGATGACCTGATGTACAATCATTGCAGTACACAACATACGTGCCTCCAACAAACAATTATGCCTACAGGTGAAAAACCGTTTCGACCTGCCAAGTAGAATGGTGATATTTGTCATACGGCACAGGAGCGTTACGTGCTGTTTTGCCAACAACTGCAATAATGGGACAAATCTGAAACCAACGTTTCTATATATTTTCATGTTAAGCATGGCATTGTTGTTGTTTGCGGATTATGCTTGGAAGAAATGAATGTGTCGACTGATCTCCTTTCGTTTCTTGAGTCCAGTGCAATCAATCACTCTTACAACTAGCCCTAGATTGCTGACTTGAAGAAATCGCCTTCAGGGCGTTTACCAAATGAAAGAAGATAAATACTACTCATTAACTGAGTTTTAACTATCTGCTCTAGCAGATGAAATTCTAAAGTAATCTTCGACCTAAGGCCGTCTTGGAGTCCCCGATGCAGAGATAATGAATGCAGAGATAATGAATACAAAACAACAGATCCCTCGTCCCTCTCATCTAGACTTCAGCTGATGCAAAATCTATCAACTCACAGATTCACCAGTCTGTTTTCCATGCTCGTCTATGTACTACGCATGTCAAAAACCAGCAAACTTGCTTCCAGCTCTTTGCATCTGATAATGCTTGCACTTCAAGAGAAAAGATGGTCTATTTCGCTGAAGCAGATACCAGCTCAGCAATCATCGCAGGATTTGTAGATGATTTCTCTTCGGCTTGCTCCGGCACGGAAGCTGACTGCTCACAAGAATGGTCCGTTGCAGCTGTTGCGGCCGCTGCCTGCTCACCATCGGCTGAGGGCACCGACGCTTGCTGCTCTTCTGATACCGAAGATGTCAGCTTCTCTTCACTGGCTCCTTCTGCTGCTCTCGTCTCTTCTGTACCTGTTGCTGACGCCTGAGGCACTTCGGTCGGTTGCTCGTTTAGAGTCTGACCCTCTTCTGCTGCTGTCGCTGACGGTGCTCGATGCTCCTGAGTGAGTGATGGCGGCGCTTGCTCCTTGGTTTCATCTCCAGCCGGCATCTGCTGCTCTGCTTCTGGAGATGACATTCCCTTTGGCTGCCCCACAGAATCTGAAGGAGGAGCTTTCTGCTCTTCAGAGGTTGATGATGCCGTCGCCTCACCCTGATCATCAGTTGCAGCAGATCCCGTCACCTCAGCCTTTTCTCCTGAGCCTTGTTCAACCGGCTCAGAGACGTCAGTTGCTGCTGTTTCTGCTTCCCTGGCAACAGCCCCTCCCAATACCTGCTCCTCAGAAGCGGATGCTGCCAATGCTTGCTCTTCAGATTTCTCCACAGATTCAATTGCATGACCAGGTGCCTTGTCCTCCGCTGCTGCCTCCTCTACTGGAGCCTTCTCCTCAGCTGCTGCCGCGTCCGCCGGAGCCTTATCCTGCACTGCTGCCTCTGTCGGAGCCTTCTCCTCCGCTGCTGCCTCTAATTGAGCCTTCTCCTCTGCTTCTGCTGCTGCCTCCGCCGGAGTGTTCTCCTCGATTGCTGCTGCCTCCGCCGGAGCCTTCTCCTCCGCTGCCGCTGCCTCAACTGCCGCCTTGTCCTCGACCGCTGCGTCCGCCAGAGTGTTCTCCGCTGCTGCTGCCTCTGTCGGAGCCTTCTCCTCCGCTGCTGTCGCGTCCGCTGCTGCCTCCTCTACTGCTGCTGCCTCTACTGGAGCCTCCTCCTCAGCTGCTGCTGCCTCCGCCGGAGCCTTCTCCTCTGCTGCCGCTGCCTCTACTGGAACCTCTACTGGAGCCTTCTCCTCGGCTGCTGCCGCGTCCGCCGGAGCCTCCTCCTCGACTGCTGTTGCCTCTACTGGAGCCTTCTCCTCGATTGCTGCTGCCTCCGCCGGAGCCTTCTCCTCCGCTGCCGCTGCCTCAACTGCCGCCTTGTCCTCGACCGCTGCATCCGCCGGAGTGGGTGCTGCTGCTGCCTCTGTCGGAGCCTTCTCCTCCGCTGCTGCCGCTTCAGCTGCGGCCTCCTCTACTGCTTCGTCCGCCGGAGCCTCCTCCTCGACTGCTGCTGCCTCTGCTGGAGCCTTCTCCTCGGCTGCTGCCTCCGCCGGAGCCTTCTCCTCGACTGCTGCCGCGTCCGCCGGAGCCTCCTCCTCGACTGCTGTTGCCTCTGATGGAGCCTTCTCTTCGACTGCTGCCGCTGCCTCTACTGCCGCCTTGTCCTCGATCGCTGCGTCCGCCGGATTGGGTGCTGCCTCTACTGGAGCCTTCTCCTCCGCTGCTGCCGCGTCCGTTGGAGCCTTCTCCTCCGCTGCTGCTGCCTCTACTGCCGCCTTCTCATCGGCCGTTGCCTCTACTGGAGCATTCTCCTCCGCTGCTGCAGTCTCCGTTGCTGCCTTTTCCACAGCTACTGTACCCGCCGCTGCCTTGTCCTCGGCTGGTGCCTGCGTCTGAGCCTTGTCCTGAGCTGCTGTATCTTCCGCAGCGTATTGCACATGCTCCAATATCACGGATTCCTCTGAATTATCTGGTTTTGATTCCTTCTCCTCTGTTGCTATACGAGCTTCCTGACCGGTCGCGTCGGTTACTGTGGATGCGGCAGAGTCACCTTCATTCAATGCTTTTTGTTCGTTTCCGGCCAATAACGCTGCATTCTCTCGATCTCCTACTACAGCTGGAGACTGTTGCTCATTTAATGCTGCAGAAGGTTCTTGGACTTCTAGAGGTTTTTTCTCGTCAACTGCTGTAGATCCTATTGCCTCAATCGTGGTAGCAGTGGGTTGTGTTTCAGCCGTAGCGTCTGCTGATCCAGGCGTTGCCTTCTGCTTCTGAATATCACCAACTGAAACTAACTCACTCGTGTGATTCTCAAATGCACCCCCCTGTTCATCGTTTGGAAGCGGATCAGCTGTGACGGATACTATTTCATCAGCAGAACGCGAGACACCTTCCGATGAAAACTCCCGTTGCTCAGCAACAGGAGCAGATTCATCCTCTGCCACTGTCTCAATCACCTGCTCAGCAGCAGGCGTCGAAGCTTGGGCCACCTGAGGCGAGGAGAGTGCCTCTGCTTGTTGATTGGTTGAGCCTTCCTTAACAGATGGAGGAGAATCCCCTTGCGTCTTAGGGTGCTCTTGTTCAGGAACAGGTAAAGCATCAGAGGTTTGGTCAGTGCTCTCTGTCACTTTTGTTGTTGATGCAGCTGCTGCAACATTCGATTCCGTCCCAGTTTTACCTGAGTCTGCGAATTCAGTATCTCATTGTTAGAACACACCTGGTACCTTCATTTATCGTAGAAATTTCTCCCTGGCTTTCCGGCACATCCTCCTTAATTTTTGACTCATCTGGGTTCTGAGAGACATCTTGTTTGGCTCCAGGGTCACGGGGTTCTGTTCTTCCTTGCCCGATCGCCGGAGCTTCTTCTGTCGATTTCACCTCATTGCCATTTAAAGGAGACTCTGACGAAGGCTCTGCTTTCTTCTTGGGTGATGGTGCACTCAATATTTTTCTCAATTCTTCAACACCTTGCTGCAATTTCTACAATCAAATTCTGTTCGAACGTTTGACAAGAAGGCACAGGGGATAAGTTGAAAACACGAAGAAGAAAAGACAAGATCAAGAGTGTAAAGAGGGCACCTTCAATTCTGGACTGTCGGGCTTGCATTCTCCCGATGAAAGAAGGGAATTGAGCTTCCGAACTTGGAAAAGGCATTGCTGCACTTGATCTTTCAAGACGTTGACGACTTCTGGATCTTCAAGCATCAGCTGATCCTCCTTCTGAAGATGTCCATGTTAACACCGCATGCAATCGACAGGATGAAAAAAATTGCTTACTTTGCGTTTCGCGGCTTCCATGGCGATTTGTCTCTGAAGCTGCTCTATTCTTGACGACGATGCACCGGCACCCATCTGCTCCAAGATCAGGAAGAAACAAGTTGCAAGGATGATTCCTCTAATTCAAGATCACCGTACATCTCCACCATACATTCAGTTGCAAGAGTCCAATACACAAATCAAGAAATTCTTCTGAACATGGGGTTTCCCCCAGTCTAATGCGAAATATGTTGCTAACTAGCTCTGATCCTCGACGACTCTGCCTCACACGAATGAATCTATCTAGACTATCTCGCGATCCTCCTTCTACCATATAAGGAGCATCTTCACAACAATCGTATGGCATGCTCTCTCCCGCCTCTCAGCGGCATATTGTCGCTGTCTGCGATGCGTTTCATGGCAGCCCAGCGGAAGGCGGGAAAAAAATCAAAAAAGAAACACAAACTTTTGCTAGAAGTACCCTACCCTACTCGAAGGCTACCCTGCTGAGCAATGGCAAAGGGGTGCTACTTTAGAAACCCTCTAAAGAAAGATGATTTGCTAAGTTTAACTATAATTAAAAAGCTGCTACCTCCGACCTCTTGCCTCTGAACTACATGGCATGAAATCGCACCCCCCCATGAACCATACTGCACCACCCCATTCTTTCACCCACCCCACCTATCATCAACCCCCTCTCCAAAACGGTTGGACGGTTGGCCGTTATTCTGAGAAACGGTGACCGTTACCAAAGGCACTGAACTCGAACCCGGGCCGGAGGCAGGCATGCGGGCCCGGCCGCGTCACTCACAGGAAACATAAGATTCACGAGTCCGCTCCAGAAGATCAATAATCTATTACTTAGGGCATCAAGTGTATTTTAGATTTAAGAAGCTACTGCCGCAGAGGGGTTCAAGGCGAAGCAGTCTTGAGAACAGGGGCAGGAGGGGAGACGTGGGAAGGAGGAGCTCTACAGCGCTATGGCAGGTGATTAGAGGCCAAAAATCCACGTCCTGATGCAGGGCCATGCACTCTCTTCGTGTACCTCCCTTGTCGGCCGCACGCGTCTGCTGTGCATTCTCTCCAGATAGACAAGCATGCTCACCAGCATGTTCCCTTCCTTGCCCCGCCATCGCAAACTCCTTGCCTCCTCCTCCTCCTGTACTCTCCCCGCCTTTCTCGTCTTCATAATGCTTGTAAATACTCGGGAAGGTCCTCTCGAGGCACAAGATGATCCCTTCGACTTGCTGCTCTTGTCAATGCTTGACTTTGCTGGATTCCTCCTTTTTACCTGTATGTGATCCGCTGCTTGTTTCAGAGTACGAGCACTTCGAAGACAGGATAGGATATCTGGCTGAGCGGGATCGAAGGTGCTCGAAGTACGTTTCCCTTCCACGCTCCCACCCACTCTCCACGCTCCCGCTGAAGCGTTCTGTATCAGTTTCACCACGTTTGTGCTCTCTTTCCTACCCCCCTTGCTCCTCATCATCGTCGCTCAGATGGCAGACACCTACATCGACCCGTGCGTCATGTTCTTTGAAGAGTGTCTCAAGAGCAGCTGACGGGACTGCCCTTGTCTTGGCAGTTACCAACGAAATGTCACCGACTACAAGAACGGGCCCAGCATAAGTTTTCCAGTCAGCAACAGCGTGCCCTCCTTGTTCTCCTGAGCAAGTTGCAGGTAAAACCGTCAATCGTTACCGATACCGACCTTGTCATTGTTTCATGGGTGATCCCTTCCTTGGTCATTCTGACGGCAAGTCGACATGGCCTTGTTGCGTCCTTCCGCCTCACTCTGCAGCCAGGTCTCTTGGCTGAAGAAGAGCAAAACAAAGCGAAGCATCACTGTCTTCCTTGCATTCTGCGAGACAGCAGCAGCAACGTTCCTGTTTGTTGTAAGCTGGCAACTGGCCTCTTAGCATATCCTCATACTCCTTGTGCAGGTTGTTGGGAAGAAGGTCGCAGGGTCCCTTCGCCCTTGCTTCATCGGTATCCCTGCTCCTGCTCCTGCTCCTTATCCTCCTGTATCCTTGGATCTCACCAGCTGCAGCTATGTGCCAGTGGGATGGCGTCAAGTGTCATTCGACCCCAGCGGAAATTCGAGATTCGAGGTCTGTAAAGAGCTTATTTCTTGCTCTCCTATTCCGCTCCCGCCCTCCATTCTCCTCTCCTTTTGCTTCCTTGCCCTGCCCTGCCCTGCCCAGCATTCTGCACCCTCTTTCGAACCCGATTTCTTACTTGACGTTCTTTTGCCTTCTCTTGTTCTCAGACAATCCTTCCCATCCGGACATGCTTCCTCGAGCGGTTTGTTGAGATCATCCTCCACAGTGAAGATGACGTCAGTGCAGCTGCAGGCCTGGTCTTCCTGTCCCAGTTTCTCCACTGCGAATTCCATTCCATGTCCTCTACGGCAGCCTTGTCTTCGCTCTTTCGGCTCATGGTAGCTACTGACACGCTTGTAAAGCACTCACGTCTACTGAAAGGTTCTAGCTCCTCCATTAGTTGCATTCTTGATTGGCATTGCTCGGACGATAACGTACCATCACCGGTCAGCTTTCACTCCAAGTGTTTTGACACGAGATCTGATGTATGTTTCCTCCTCCCTCCCCTCAGTTTTGAAGATATCATCATGGGGTTTGTGCTTGGGGGATCGGCTGCCATCTACATGTGGCGATCGCACGGGCTATCGAACAAGTTGGCTTCTCCTATTTTTTGTGAATGGTTGTAAAGCTTATCGCAGATCTCCGAGCAATCGAGATCTTGATATTTCAGTCAGCCTACCAGGACCTCTGTGATGTTTAGAAAGAGTAAAATTTTGATTGATTCTTTGGGAGTACGTACAGGGGAAATGCCATAATATTTATATCTTCATCCCTATTTGGCTTACGATTTTCACACTAGCTATACAACACAAAACAGATCTAATTTTCAAAATAATATATAGACAGCTGTTAAATCACAGTCCCGATATTGAGGACATAGAGAAAGAGGCAAAAGGCCGTCCGCTCTTCAATCAGACGAAGTAACAGCGGAAGACAGTTTCCTGGCTTTGCTCTCCTTATACGGCCACCTAAAATCAAAGTCACGAAAAAAAAATCTGGACCCTCAGACTTGCACTTACTTGCAAACTCCCAATCTTCGGCAAACTTTCTTCATTACTGTGGTGCATATGCCCTTTGCTTGTGTCAGCACCGTGCCGATGAAGCAATGAAATCAAGCTTACAAGTTTCTTGCTCGCTGCCCGTTGGGGGAGGTCGAACAATCTTTGTAGCCTAAATCAGAATGTTACAACCCTTTGATTTCCCAAACAAGAAATCACATTGGCAGAGATATAACAATCGGCGGTCTGTTTCTACCCAGCTTGTCCTGTTCACAGATCAAAGGTCATGGTAATGGAGAGCGATCAAAATCTCGAACAAACCTGCCCTGCCTTTCTGCGTGGGAAGATAGTCACATCATCAGTGGCATTGCGCCTCCTCCTCCTGCCAACTGATGCCACAACAGCCTATTTTGGCGTCAAAGAAAACATCGTTGGAGAAGTGAAAAACTTTTCACCTTGCTAATATCGTCGGAGGATGCCTGTTCACTGAGAACTACCGAATCCTCGTGCTCAGAGCTCTCGGATCCTGGAACCCTTCGGTGTTACAAAGAGAAGCCCTTGAGGCAGAGCACAAACCCGATGCTTCCTTTATCTTGCTCTCTTGCTTCATGATCTGTTCCTTGTATTTATGATAGAGTTCCGTGGGGTCTTGAGATTCAGGTAGTGCTTGACCGATCATCGTCGCGCTGCCCAGAATTTGGGGAACACTAGCGGGCATTATGGAAGAGAGTGGGGGTAAGCTTCCAAAAGGCGACAGAAGATTCTCAGGTAGCTTGCTGTAAATACAATTCGCACAAGAAGGGCAGGAAAATGTCAGCACGATCAAGCCTCTGTGAAGGAAGAAACAATTTACCGTTCGAGGACACTCATGAAGGAGGTCTGATTCGGATTACTCAAAAAATGCTTGTTTGAATTGTCCAAACCGCAGTTACCAGCCCATGCGATTCTTTGGGAGAAGTCGCCTATAACAGGCTGAGTGACCCAATCTGGTCGAGTGAAGCATTTATGGATACCTGGCACGAGGATAGGGTTCTGCGCTAGCACGTTGATGTAAGCAGCTTGTTGCAAGAAAGTATCTGCTGTCAAGTCCATTTCATGCGACGATTTTTCGAATGAATCCATGTTAACATCCATTGGTCGACTTGTAGCAGCCTGCCGTTGCAACCAGAAATTCTTCTCATGGTCCGAAGTCTGTTTTGAAACACTTCAGAACCCAACATCAGATATTCGCTGGACATACCATGCTGTCTCCCGTCAGAATGTAGCTATTGTGCAATAGAGACATAGAGGACACAGTCTTATTATTCATCAGAGACGGTGTCATCTGACAAATCCCCGTTTCAGTGCTTTCTAATCCGCTTGACATCCCTGAGCAAAACTGTCATACATTTCCTGACAGACGTGTAGAAGCAAACCATTTTCAGATAAAATCTCCCTCAAAGACTTGAGGTTGTGCATACTTGTTGTGGAGCTTGAATCGTGCTATAAATTCAGTAGATCAGAGTCCGTCTTTGGCAAGTCGTTGGCAAGTAGTTACATTCAGAACATACAGTGTCACGACTAAAGTTGGCTCAATGAATATATATTTGAGGTAATGGGAACCTAAGACGAGAATGCGATTGACAGTAATCTTTAAATCTACCCGCTCCAGGTATCTCATCCAGTCTGTTCTAAGTCCATAAATTGATGTCCCAAAAAGTTTCGATTTGCGATCTCTCGCTTGAGCAATTCAGGCTCACACAAACATATTCCTGTGCTCTATATTTCCACTAAATATCTCTTCTGATGTATTGTAACAAGCTGTCTGAAATATGCTACCTCTGTCATCATGAGTTTTGGAGCCAATGCCTCGAATAGGCTCCGTGTTGTCCCCTTTCCGGACTTCTCTGACTGCGTCCACAATCGAATTTACGTGATTTTTCTACGAAACTTTTAATGGAATTTTCTCTCCTTGCAGATCTTTCAGCATGGCGCTCTCTTCCTTCACCTTGACCCACCCGCTAGCTCCTCCCTCCCCCCCACAGCATTGCTTCAACAAGTTTGTGCATTGGCCAACAAGGGACGGAACCACCTTACCTAAAAACCACCGACTACACACCCCCACCCCCCCCATTCCCTCCCCTGCACCATACAAAATTGTCCACCTACCCTTCTCGATCACCGAGTGAGGGGTGGTGACAACGCCAGGGATCTTTCTTTACTTACGCCCCGCCTGTACCCCTTGTCGCCAAGGACCTGGATACCCTACCAGAGTCATCACCATGAACTCATAGGAAAGGAGGGGTACTGGGATGCGGTCGTATTATGCCTCTCGGCGACCACCCCACTCCGATTCACGATTAAAAACAAATATTTTAAGGGTAGTAGGAGAACTCCGATAAGTTGTTCTTTCGAAGATAACCAATGGAATCTCACGGCGATCTAATTCAATTTTGTACGGCAGGGTGCCCTTAAGTGCGAGATTTTAAAACAGATGTAGAGTCAAACGTCGTTTGTTTGCATGATTGTCTGCCCTTCGAATGCTATTTTAGGTTATACATTTTGCTTGTCAAGGCAACATTAGGGGCAGTGGGGAGATACTGATCTCCCAGGGTCAGATACGACCCTTCGACCAGAAAAAGGGGGGTAGGGGTGGTGTGTTGGGACACACGGCACTGCAGAGCACCTACATGAGTTGGAATTGAGAGTGCTCTATCGGACCGGTACTAAGATGAGGAAAAGGGTGGTGGGTGGTTAGATGAAGCCCGTTGTTGGGGCAGATAAAGCAATTCGAGCAAGGTGAGGGGGTACGGGTTCTCACCATTGGACGTAACAGCAACGTAGTGCCAAGGTGCGGCGAAAAGATACGTTTGGGGGGCAAGGTAAACGATTTCCTATTTGATACCCTAATATCTTAAAGCAAGGAGAGTAACTATGTGGGTTTGCTCGTCATGTCGTCTGAAGAAGACGGAGGGAGACGGTCGGACGTGGGGGCAGGGAGAAAGTAGGGGGTAGTTGGGGACGTTTGTTCATGGTATAATTGTTATAAATGAGTAGCCGCATCCCTGCAGCGTTCCGAGTACACTGAGATTGATATGGAGATACTTACCCTCGGTACAACTTTACAACACTTCTAGCAATTACTTGTGGGAGGCGAAGGAGCAGTCATACTGAAAGGCCGCATTACTGGTACACCTCTATAGGCCGGTAGTGAGGCCAATTCAGGTGTTCAGAACTGTTTTAATCATACATCAAATTTAAATTGCTACTGCGAGCGTGTTTGCTCGTACTGCTGAATTCACGGTACAGGGTGAAAGTTAGCAGCGGCAGATGAATAGGAGAGGGTGCTAGATTTTATTTGTCTTCAATGGGAAGATTTGTTGACCATGGACCCAGTGGGCCGCAAGGAAGGCTTTAAAAGTATGATCATAGTATCGGCTTTCATTTTATAAAGGCCCATCATGACTGGAGGGGGTCGTATAAGTGTTTTAAGATGAGACGCAACGCAACGCTAAGGACCTATCTATGTAACCCCTTGCACCGCCAGGTTTTGCGGCTGTTTAATCGACAACTTGAACCAGCGCCATTTCAATTTTACACAGTAGTGTTACCGCACCGTGTGACTGAGTCAGCCGCCGCGACCGGCACCATCTGTGGGAACTTGAACTTGATGGGGACTGGAGGGGTACTGCCGTACGGTACCGTGATCGGAACCGTTGCTGACCCTGACCCGGCCATTGTCCAAAGTTCCGCCCAGTCAATCATGGCAGTTCAGACGGTTGTAAAAATCACCACCCGTTTTTTCCCTCTGAATATGACCCCTGCTAGCCTTACCGGCGGTGCCGGCCGTATCATGAGAGTCGGGCCCGGCGGCGGCGGCCGTGACCGTTGCCCGTTCGCCCGGCCGCCAACTTGCCAATCAGGCAGTTCATGGAATACCGGACCTCGAGTCGCTCGGACCGTCCGGGAGCAAACGGCTTTGAAACAGGCTGCAAGCAGCAGCACAGCGGAAGATCCGGGAGTCCGAGGGCATCGTAATGCATATGCTCAGCACGTCCCGCCAAAGGCGGCCTTTCTTCGCGGTCATCATGGCATCGCCAGCCGCGTGACTGATGGCGCGGCCTCTTGCAGGACGATGCGTTGCGCTTTCTGTGGTGGCTGGCGGATCGCTCGGCGTCCTCGACTCTCCTGACAGTGATTCCGGCGCCCTGAGTGGCGTACGGCGGTGACCTTTCAAGTTTGAGTAAAGTCCCGGGGATGCCAGGTCCT